CATGTGACTTTGGAGGGGTGAAACATTTACAACCGGTAATAAAATCGATCAGAACTTTATGAAAACAATTATAGTATAACCTCAAAATGGTTCCCTTGTCTTTAATTTTTTCTTACCTTCCAAAAATGATATTAAACGCTAAGAGATAGAGTTAATAATATGATTTCATTGTATATGATGTAAGAAAAAAATTTGTTAATATTCCACTTTAATTAGTCTAAAATATTTGATAAACAAGAATGATATTACAAATGGCTTATGGTTAACCTAAAACAGCCTCTTATTATAATTTTATTTTTATTTATAGCATGTTAAAGCTTTCAATGATTTTGTTTCTTATCCATTAATTATGATACATTCAAAACTTATTAAAAATTTTAAATTGAAAACTGATCTCTAAGCTTAAAGGGGATATTTTTTTTTAAAAAAAACTAACTATAAATGAAAAATCTTAAGAATCGGAGTCAGTACTTTTAAAAATAGTTTCTAATTAAATTTGAATTTTATGAAATAAAATATACATAATCATAATATCCTAATTTTAACTTATTTAGTGAAATATTTATTTAGTTTTTTGGTTAGTTAATCACTTTGAAATTATGTCGCTTAATTTTATTGGATAATGGTTTTAAATTCGAAATGACTTTAGTTCAAATCTATCTCTTTTAATTATTGTGTTCATTGTATAGATTTTTTTTTCTTTTTTTAGAATCCAAGAATACTGAATAAAAATAAGAGAATTAAAGAAAAAGAATGGATGCAAAAGGAAGTGTGAAATTGTTTATAAGGTGCTTATATATGTACACATAAATATATAATTGGTAAATAGTTGATAAAATATATGTAAATTAGATATAAGGTAGTGATGGATCACATGATGAGAGTAACTTCCATCATCCATTGTCCCCTCTTCCTTCCCTAACACTGTCTTTTCATTCCCTTCCATTCTAAGGGCATTGTCACTTTCTCTTTTAAATCCAACCAAACTTGGCCTCATCTTCTTGTTTCATTTTCTCCCAATTATTAGAACTAATTAAACTTCCAGTTATATACAACAATTAATAACTAATCGATTAAATTAGAAATATCTTTATCTTTAGTTAAAATTTAAGGATACATAGGTCCATATCTGCGCGTTGCAAGATTAGTCTTGATTCCAATCCACATCCACATATAAGAGTCCTAATAGCTAAAATGAAATAAAATTGCATAGAAATGAACATTGTGAAATACACATTAAAACATAATTTTCTAGAAGGTGGAATAAAAAGAGATATGCATGTACAATAATGAAGCTAACTTGTGTAAGGACCACAAAAATATATGGATGTCGAAACTAAACATATATCTGTCATAAGGATATAAACTATAAGAGACAACACCACTTATTATTAAATGGTTTATATCGTAGAAAAGAATTAGACTGAGATTTATTATATATTTTTAGGAAAAAAAAATCTAACAAGAGGGGACAAGCAGAGATCCATCCCACATGGGATTCAGAAAATATATAAATTGGTGAAAAAGCTGAACAAAGGAAAACACATTTGGAAAATGATGGCTCTCTTTGATCTCTTTCTCACTCTCAAACACCAATATGAGTGATATACTGATATGCATGCGTATATATGTACAAAATGTATGTATAAACACAGATGTTACACATCTATATCTGTATATGTGTATTTATGTATATTATTAAAAAAACTGTTGTGTAAAAAGACAAATGTGAAAAGACAAATGTTAAGGTTGTGTCACAATGGGCAAGATTGCTATGTTTTGAAGTATCTCATCAGTTTCCATTATCTTCCAATTTTTGAGACACATCTCTTTCCTTCTGGTGAATTCAACACTGTGATTATACATTTCCTTGTTTTTTTGTAAGTATGTAGAGACACACTCATAATGTTCATACCGGTACGTTTCCGTGACTGTACAACAAATACTGTATATGTATCTTTCTACATACTAATATACACTACGCCTAATTTACTAAAGATGAAAGTTTTTTTTTTTTTTCGACTGAGCATGCATGAAAATGAATATATCTAATTTTTTTTTTAAGAAATAGAAGTAGTTCATTGAATCCAAAACTAGATCGAGCAAAAAAAAAAAAGAAAGAAGAATTCAAAAGTAGTTTATAGCAACTGAACTTGTGAAACAGTTAGTAGTAAGGTAGATATATATATATATATATATATATATATATATCAAAGTAAATGATATTTTGTAAGCACTAAGCAGTAATTTTTGAATTTTGATTTGATAAACAAAAAATATATTTTGGGGTTTGTGTATAGAGAAAGGTCTAAGAAGAAGAAGTTGAAAACAAGTGGATACTCCGACTCCTTCCCACCCCTTGTTGTTTCTGTAATTCTCTCATCAATTATTCATCATTTTTTTTTCTTGATAGATTGTGGTTTTTTGTATTGATCCATTTGCTTCTATCTTTCATTATCAAAGGTTCCTATCATCAAAAAAATGAGTCATGGCCCCTCCATTTTGTTACTATTTAAATAACTTCTGTAATTATAGTCCAATATGATTTCGGATCGAGCTTTTTTTTTGGTTGACGTAATAATTGATATATTCGCATGGGTTATAAACACACACTTGCCAATTTTCTATCTCCAAATAAAAAATTTACAAAACCTTTCTTGTTTCCCCTTTCCCTTTCGCTTTTTTTTTTGGATTATTTCATTGCTATTCTCTTCTATTTGTTCTTTTACTTGTAGCATCGTGGACGAATGGTTTTTTGGCCCTACGCTGTTTATAGATAATTATCTTCTTTTTGTTTGTATCACGAATCAAAATTTTCAACATGCAAGTATACATTTATTCTACCATATATTGCTTACAATGTTATAATTTTATTGATCAAGAAAACATATTTTCATCATTTTAATTAAAATAATTAAAAATATTTAGCATTCGGTCTAGACTTCTCTAAGTCTTAATACTAGCTGTTGATGATACGTGCATGAAACAAATAAAAAGTATGTAAATTTTTTCTTTCAGCTTCTCTAGCACTAGTTTCTGATCTGTTTTCTCTCTGGCTAGGAAGAGATCATTCTCTTGATTAAAGACAAACTTACCTGGCTATGTGTTATATTCATCACTATCTACTTGTACAATAATCAAGGTTCTTTACTCCGCAGTATTTTCGAAAAACAATGTTTTACTTAAATTTATAATTTTTGCTCGAACCTGAAGGTCCTGAACTTGATATAGCCGAAATAGTTGAACAACAAAACTGATCTTAAAAATCTTGCCGAGAAAAGAAAATCACTAAGAGATTGCAACTTCACACGCACGTAAGAATAGTAGTTCATGAAGTGCTACATATATATGTATAACTATATATTTATATATTTGGCATTTGACAGTGCCCAAATTGGAATTTTGATTACTATATTATTTCTAAAAGAAAATATTTACAAGTTCATGTACGTGTTTGTTTATAAACGCTTGTGAATGGATTTTGTTTCTGTGAATATGTATATTCACATATTTCTATATACTCCCTCTGTTCAGAATTATTTGATGTTTTTTCAGAATTATTTGATGTTTTAGGAGGATTTGTTTGTTCAGAATTATTTGATGTTTTCACTTTTCAATATAAAATTTAATAAATTCTTATTGTTTTTAACCTTTTATATTCTGCAGATTGTTTTTTTATTGGCTAAATGACATTTAAATAAATTATAAATAATGTTTTTAGTGTAAAAAAATAGAAATTAAATACATCCTTAATCTATATGCAAAAATCTTAAATATCAAATAATTTTGAACAGAAGGAGTAATTAATACAAAATTTATTCCTTTAAAAAGTAGATCTTTCTGGTGACAAAAACAAAAAACCTGTGTTACATCCAAAGAGCAATAAATAAGCTCTAGGGTTTCATGGAATCGTTTTAGATATAGATTTTAGTATTTTTTGGGTAGTAGATATAGATTTTAGTTATTTTCTATTTTGTATTTTTCTCTTTGGATAAGAGTTTGGTCCTAAAAAGATTCTTACATTGCAGAATTAATTTCATTGATAAAACATTATAGCTTTTTCAGTGCCAAAAAAAAACTTATTTGGAAGAGAAAATCAAACGAAGGAAAATTATATCTGGAAAATTAAATCTCAAAACAATAGAAATGAATTTATGTATTATCTAATTTATTTAATTACTTTACAAAACGTCTGGATTAGTCCAAATCATTTTGTTTTTCAAGAACATTTTATGTTTCAAATAAAAAAAAAAACACTGTAATAAGTTAATTAAGTGTTTTAGACGTACATAAGTACGTACGCAAACACACAATACTACTAATATTAAAGTAGACGAAATTAATGAGCATGGTAATGCAATAATTATAGCCATCATCTCCATGCATATGTCTTTATATGTACGTGTGTGTTTGATTATTTGTTTTCAGAAATTTAATCATCAATTTTCGCTGAACGAACATTTTGAAAGATAATTACATTACAGATAATACGAGCCATGGGTCTAGCCAATTATATTCAAATCATGCAAGTCGTCGTCTATTCTTTTTCTAGTTTCCACGTTCCTTTATTATGAACGTTACCATCATTAATTATTTTATTATTCACTCTATCTCTTGTTACTTCAATATCAAGCATTTAACTAACTGGTCACAGTTAGTTTTGCTCTGCAGGTTGATTGATGTCATAGTTCGACTTTAATACTCCCTATAATAGCATATGTATATTAGTATATATAGCTTATCATTTTATTTTTTTTGATAAAGCTGATGGTCAATGTAGACACCGTAACTAATCTGAATTTTAGTCCATCAAATTCCGAAGTGATCTGTAGAGTGGTTTCTAATTTGTGTGATTATTAATTCATGAAAACTAAGAGAATTTTCAAGTGTCTTTTATTTGCTATTGTGTTGGGAAAAGTAGAGGAAGTAAAGTAGTTAGAAAAGTGATTAATCTGATTGTTTTCCTTCGGTTTCAAGAAAATAAAAAGAAAGGACCTGATATTACCAAACTCGAAAATGAAAACAAACTGAACTAACCACAAAATGGAATTTAAAACAAAAGAATGGCTTCCGTTTTTTTTTTTCAAATTATTTTTCAAACTAATTAAACCAATACTCTCTTTCTCTCTCAAATTTCCATTAATAATAACAATAATTAAGAGAAACAATTAAAGACTTAATTAAAATTAAGGCCTAAACCTTTGCCTGCAAGAGTGGCAAGTGATCTCCAAGCAAGCCGTATCGATCTTCGCAATTGATCTCTCTTTCAGCATCTCTGCTCTCTCCACCTCCTCCCTTGCCTTCTGCCACATCACCCTGGTTCCAACTCAAAACCGTGAACCAAACCGAACCAAACCAAACCGGAACGACTTTAACTGATGAAACTCGCTTACCTTGCACGAGCGAACTCAGATTGAGCCATCTCCATCTCACGGCGAGTCAACTCTCTGACTCTCTCGGCGTAAGCCTTCTCTATCGCCGCCAGTCTTATCTGCTCCGCCGCCTGCCACTTCAACGCCTCCACACCTCCGCCGTCGCCGTTGCTCGGATGCTCCACCGTCGCCGTTGGGATTGTGCTGAGGCTGATGGAGAGTTTTAGGTCGAGATCGTGGTGGATCATGGAGGAGGAATGGTGGTGATCGGTTGTTATAACTGTTGGTCGGAATTTTCTTAACGGAGATTCCGTTGACGGTGGAGAAGGTAAAAGCTGAAGCTCTTTGTGATGATCTTGTTGTTGTTGTTGTTGTTCAGCCATGTTTTTTTTTTTGTTGGTTTTGTTTTTTGTTGGGAGCTAAAAGGCTGCAGTTTTCAATAAGTGTGTGGGGGTGGCAATTACCAATCACTTTATATGTAAGCTGCTTCGTATCTGTGCACACACATATATATACCCACTTGTACCCACTTTGTTTTCATTTTGTGACTTTAGTACAAATGGGAAGTTTGTGTAGAATCTCAATGATGGTAACTAGTAAAATTTATAATTAGCTGAGTAAGGGGGATATTTCTTAGCATAACAAAACCAAAAATAAGTTTGAATGAATAATTATAATTTTTCAGACATATTTCTTGTTCTATTCATTGTAATTGTTACCTAGCTACATTTCTTTAAGGAATTCACTAAATCTTCCTCTTTTACAAAGGTTCAACCAATTTATAATTTTTTACTAATCCCCCATAAAATTAATATTAAATTGGTTAAGTTTAGCTAGTCACCCCATATGTCAGCCAATTTATAGTTACCACGTTTATATATTGGTTTTGAGTTGGTTGAGGCCTGGGCACATTATCCGAACCCGAATAATTTATCCGAACCCGACCCGAAAAAGAGAAACCGAACCCGAATCGAAACTGATAAAATATCCGAACGGTTTTTAAATTTCTAAATCCGAAAAACCGAAACCGAACCAAACCGAACCGAAAATCCGAATGGATATCCGAAATATCCGAAATACAATTATATACCCAAAATACTAACTACAATTAGATTTAATAACCTAAAATTACAATTATAAATCCAAAATATGAATTATTTTTATTCTGAAAATGATGAAAAATCCAAAATAATTTAAACATACCAAGTTTTTAGTTATATTTTTAAAATTTTGCCAAATTTTATTTGAATTTAACTAATTTTATTTAAATTTAATTATTTTTATTTAATTTTATTATTTTTTGGATATCCGAACCCGAACCGAACCCGATCGAATATAACCGAACCCGAATCGAAATTCCAAAAATATCCAAATGGGTTTTAAATCTAAAAACCGAAAATCCGAAAAACCGAATTATCCGAACCGAACCCGAATGGATATCCGAACGCCCAGCCTAATTGATAATTTGTGTTTTGTAGACTGAATTTAGATATCGATTACACTCTCTCTAACAAACGACGACCGTGCCATCATTATGTTAATTTGTTGCCAAGTGTGGTTCACAATTGATTATCTCGATTGATTAGACAAAATGATTTGATTGTATAACAATTAGGTTATATATATATATATATATATATTTCTTCATTCTATGAGTTAGTTTTTTTTTTTTTTAAATTACAATTTACACGGATTTGGTTTGTTTTGTCAACGGATGCTTACAATTATGACTTATTTCTTTTTAATAGAAGATTTCAAAATATGAACAAACGGTTATTATATAAGATGACAAAGATGGTTAATTTTTCCAACATAACCACAATTATTCTCATCTAGCTAACATGATGTTTATTATGTATATACATACCTACATTTACCACATGACGACCCACTGTATATATTTCGTTTGCAATTTGAAAATTACTTCACGCAAGATATAGCTAATTAATATAGAGAAAATTATATCAAGATTTAAAATAAATAGTCACCGAAAACCAAAATTTTAAGTACTATGTTTTTTATCATGATTTTCATGCAACTATTTTAGGTTCAGACCAATTAATATTAACTATGATCGGTAACACTAATGGAGGTTAGTTTGGTAATACGAGGGTAGAAACTAGAATACAAATAGTTAAGCTTGTAGAGAGAATCTCCGTCGAGAAAAGACAGAGAAGATGGGATATAACGGATCACGTTATTGAGGCATGAGAGGCTTTATAAAGAAACCCTTTTCACTTTTTCATCATCTTTCTCATTTCAGATGTTATTATAACTGATAACTTTGCGATTATATATATAAACATATATCCGTTTTTTTTTCTATAAAGATATGATAAATGAGGATGTGGGTTGTGTAATAATTGGCTATGCACGTGGTTTAATGGGTTCCAAAAGCTAACAAGCTTACTATACTAACTAAGTACGAATATCTGAGCCATCTAAGCAAATTTTAGCATAAAACGGTATTATGTATTATGTATACGACAAAGCTGTAATTTCTGTATTTTTGTTTCTTGTTATTAAGCATGTTTCTCATTATAAACCTCTGATTCTGATCCTAATTTCTGTGTTTTATTTATTTATTTTAGAATCGGAGTTATATCATACATGAGAAATAAGAAACAGATTAATAACAAAAAAAAAGAAACACATAAATTACACTTATTGTATTCATAATTTGTGGATTCTTTTAAAAAGGGAAATATTTTGAATATTATTAATTGATGTTGAATTGGAAATCTATAAACTGCGATTGATATAGATTTCGCAAAACACTTAAAAAGAAAAACATACAGTATATGAACCTTCACGAAAACGTAACATCACATTTTTTTCTTTCAATTGCAAAATTGGTCTATCTTTTGGTGACCTCTCACAATTGTCAAAGTTAGAAATGATATATAATTTGTTCGAAAAAATAGAAAGAAAAAGAAATGTATATAATTTTTTTGGTTAAGTAAGAAATTGTGGGGCTAGAACATGTTGATGTAGTCATTCAGTGTTTGAACTCTTAGACATATTCGACTCTCGTTGTTTTTTTAAATGGCCAGATAGTACAAAGATAAAAATATTTGGTCAAAGAATTACAAAGATTATATAACTTAATCTTTCATATTGTTGATTGCCAGAATTTTCTGCCGAGGAAAAAGCAGTAAAGGCTAAAGCACAGACCCTAAATCGATCTGGTTAATACAATAAAAAACGAACTATAAACCAAGATTTATATGGACCGATAGACCTAATCGCCTACCTGAACCAGAAGCGCGTGAATTTTACTCTCTCATGGTTTCCCGCTAGATTTGTTCCGTTGATAGGGAACATAGAACACTCTCTTCTTCTCTCGCCAAAAGCGAAGATTTTTCAGTTGATAATCTCTTTCTTTACCGATTTGAAGCTCCATGAACTCTCGAGATCTCGCAATCGTCTCTACCTCTGCAATTTTCGGTGCTTTGGTTTCAGCTCTAGCATTTCGCTTCTTCTCATCAAACCCTAAAAACCCTAAATCCCGAAGATTTGCTTCGACGGAAATCGCCGCAGTTTCCAGAAGATTTCCTGGTCTAGACCCTTTCAGTCCTTTGAAGCGAGAAGGGTTCGTCAGATTTCTCTTAAATTCATCTAATTTTCTCGAATTTCGCTGCTTTTAGAGCTCGCACTCCGGTATCATCTCTAGCGAAATCTTATAATTTTTAGAAAATCAGATGCTTACCTCGAGCTTCGAAAAATCTGTTTTGTATAAATTTAGGATTAAAGCGAAAAGAAACAAATTTCTTTTTGGAAAAAAAGTAGCTGGAATCTGGTGAATTTTGGTGTCGAAGATGGTAGACTTTGCTTTGATTTAATGTATGATTTTTTGTTTTGATTGTTGTTGTGAAGGTATTTATCGTGGGATGATTATTTCATGGCGATTGCATTTCTGTCAGCAGAAAGATCAAAGGATCCTAACAGGCAGGTAAATTCTGTTCTCATTTTGTGATAAATAAAATGAGTATCCAAATAGTCCTTGCAGCTTTTGTAAGTTTCGATTGAGATTCAATTAGGTAGTTCCTCAGGTAAGAAATATTTGATTCTCTGAGATCAAATAGCCAATCTGCGAGTGAAGTTTTAAAGTTGATGTTGCTTTTGTTTCTTGTCTATATCAGAAGATTGTGGTTATATGGAAATTTATGATTCTTAATTTCTATTGTTATCACTACCATAGATCTATATATGAAATGGTTGTAAATTTCTTTGGTATCATAGACTAGAGGTTCTTTCAGCTAAGAGATTCCGTGTTTAGATAGCACACTGGCTGATTCTTACGTTGTTGTGTTCATGTCTAGCACGTTTTGAGTAATATAGTACGGACTTTAAGGTCTTAAAGGCTAGAAATTTGAATCTAAGAATTGCACTACAAATTCGATACTAAATATGACTACCCATGACTTCTTTTAGTGACAATCTGATATCCTTTTCTGATGGACCATATGCAAAAAGTTTGGATCTCGTGAATGTTGCAAATATTTAAAATTAACTATCTTTCCCATTTTTATGCTGCGGCAGGTTGGTGCGTGTTTGGTGAGCCAAAATGGTGTAATTCTTGGTAAGATGATGGATCACACTTGTCTTTTGACATCTTTTTCACCAATATGAAAAAATGAATTCTGTAGGGATTGACATAGTTAAAAAAGATAAATAAAGTACTTTCATCTCTCATTTTAGGGATTGGTTATAATGGTTTTCCGAGAGGTTGCTCGGATGACAGACTTCCTTGGGCCAAGGTATTTCTATTACTTTCCCTTGAAATCAAAGTAGAAATAAAATTCTGAATGTATGGCAGAAAAAAAAAGTGTTGTATTTGCGGTACCATCGAAACTAGGATCAACCGTTCAAGTAGTAACTAAACTAAGAGTATGTGTAAACAGAGGAGGCACAGTTTGTAGAAGAGCAAAGTAACTTTCCACTAGACATTTTTCTTAACTTTCTGCTGCCAATTTTCAGAAATCGAAAACTGGGGACCCATTGGAGACAAAGTATCCGTAAGTACAAATCTCAAATGATGCTAGGTTTTATAATCCTCATCCGTTTTAGCTCATTGCTAAGTTCTGATGTTTTGGTTTTTGTTAGATATGTTTGTCACGCTGAAGTCAATGCCATACTAAACACAAACCACGCATCTGCGGCTGGACAGGTTAGTTCCTTTGAACATCGTTTTCTCACATGGGGTTTCTCAACTGAGCTAAAAGATCAAAACATTTTTTAAATCTTTCCTATAGAAAACCGAAGATTTTCAGCTGCAAAGAGATTGAAATGAAAAGCCATATGCAGTTTCTGTTCTGAAATATTTCTGTGTGGATATTTTATTGAAGTGTATCTATGTTCCTCAAATCTTTTGCAGAAACTTTATGTGACAATGTTTCCTTGCAACGAATGTGCCAAGATTATTATACAGGTTTGTTCTTCAAACAACTCTGATTACTTTGTCAAATTTGGATCGTAATAAAGTAATGTTATATGGTTAATGTCTTCGACTAACCAGTTGTTTTGATATCGAATCCCAGTGATCTATTTATACCGGTAGCTTAATGCAAGTAGATCATCACAACCACATGGACTTGCTTCATTTTGTTTTTTTTTTCTTTTGTTGAACAGTCTGGTGTTGCTGAGGTAATCTATTTTGTGGAAAAGAGATTAAAGGACTCAGATGTTGCCTACGTAGCTTCTCACAAGCTCTTAGCCATGGCCAACATCAAAGTAAGTCTCTTCTTAGGTTTATAAGTTGTCATGACCTTTCATTTACAATGTTCGTTTTGGGAAAATCTCATTTTAGTATCTAACTCTGTCTGAAACAAACTGTCAGGTTAGGAAACATCAACCAGAGATGGATCAGATCTTGATCAAGTTCGAAGAAAACTTGCTCTGACCATGGACCTAATTGTTCCAATTCAAAATGTAGGTCCAAGTATGAGAATCTTAAGATTTCTGTAGAGAGTCACTTGTTGAAGAAGAGAAGGTTGTTTATCCAGAGATGGTTTTGAAAATATCACTTTTTTTTCTTTCATTCTTATATTTCTCATGTAATAACTAAATCCAATAAAATTTCAGAAAAGTCTCCCCAATTTTTATTTTTGTCAATTTGCCCTTTGTGTTTTGGTTTGACCCATTCAAGGACATGGACAAGAAGATGAAGGAAGCAGTAGAGGATCTAACCCGAGCTGTAGTGAACAAGATCCTGCACGGTCCAATGAAACATCTGAGATGCGATGAGACTGATAGCAGAACGCTGCCTGAGACGCTAGAGAACATGCAGGCTCTTACAGAATGTTTGAACTCGAACTAGAGATACTCGAAGAGAATTTGTTGCATCCATATTTTTAGGCACGTAGAGGTCAAACGGCAGGCCTTTTGTAATAAACAAACGCCCCTTGAGTAACGAGTGTACTTTACAATTGTTTTCATTAAGTTTGTGTTTAAAGTTTGTCGATAATATTTACATTTTTTTGCCGATTCCATATCAGTATACTAACTAGTACGGTTAAGTACAGTAGTTGTGACGACCAAAAAAAAAATACAGTAGTTGTGTCTCCTTGATTCAACCAAAAGTCATGTCTCCGATAATTAAACCGAACTATGGTGAAATAGCCTCGTGTTCTTGTCGGAGTAAAGTCTCTTTGACATAGACACAACTATACAAGAATTCAAGTCCATTTGCTTGCTCTTCACGCTACCACCATTCTCTCTCTGTGTCTCTACATTGACTCAGATGTTGCCTATGTAGCTTCTCACAAGCTCTTAGCTTGTCTTGCCTCAACAATCAAATTAATTTTTTTAAGTGTGGTGTAGGTCTTTTTCTTTTTTATAATATATGAAAAAAAAAGAGTCTTTTTCAAAGATTCTATATAAATTTTTATATGAAAGCGGGATAGTTATCTTTCAGAGAATTCTAATATCTAATAATAGTGGCCAGGTTAACAGGTCAAGCTCGAGATTCTCTAGAACAACTTTGGTTTTTAACTTAAAACGCATTCACCAAATTCCCTTGCTTACCAAACCAACTATCCAAGAAGTGTATATGAAAGTCCATCATCTGAAAATTTGCTAAAGAGTCTCTCAACTTCTATAAATTTTGACAAAATGGCTATAAAATTCAAGGTGCTAAACAACAAAAGAAACTCAAATTCAGCAAAAGAGGCAACAAAAAAAAAAGACTACAAAGAGATTTTGCAGGCACATTGTAACAAACATATCACTGGTAAGAAGTTTTTGGGGGAAAAAAGGGTGAGAACCTTTACCATCAGAATTCAGTAGTATCCTCAAACATAACCTTGATCTAGTAACAATCTATAGCCTTCTCAAAACCAGAACTCCATTCTCTTCCATAACTGTTCAACTTCATCCTACTCGTCGTAAGCACTCCATATTTTGCAAAACAAATCCTACAATGAATGTCTTCTAGTAGCTTTTCCTCGAGAAAATACAACTCTATTGCCTCGTGTTTTGAAAGTCCCTCCATATCCGTCTCGATGAAACCTCTGACGCCTTCCTTCCCAAGCTTTACTCTGGATCCGAAAACGGTATCTTTGTTAGTGTTGACTAGACAAAGCAGCACTCTACAACGTCTCCAACTCCCTGGAGCGCCCGGATCTATAAAACAACAAAGCGTTCTGCTCCTTTTATTTGAAAGAACTTATAATAACCCAGATCTTCACTGCCAACAGGATACTAGATTTCAGATGTCCATTTTATTAGTCCCTTGCTAAAGATGACTGAGAGTTTTGTCCAGAGTGAATCATGTTTGGAATGATTACCTATCGCCGCTACTTCTATATCTTCAACATCAATGCTGCTAATTCTAAATCTTCAACATCAATGCTAAATTCTGAATTGATGTATTAAAAAATAAAACATGTTTGACACCATTTGAGGTCTCACAATTACTAATATCCAAAAAAAATCTTTTTTTGCATACTTGAATATGAAATTTATGTTACATAAAAGGAGTATGTAGGAAGAAAACATAAGGTAGAAAGAAGAAGTAGTTGGTGCATGGTTTGTGCACAGAGCTTTGCAAAGTAAATCTGAGAGAGAGCTTATCGATGAAGGCAAGAGAGAAAAATATTTTTCATTGAAAAATACAAGATGCACTGAAATTTATATTTTAGACTATGCCTCACCACGTCAAAAATCTGGTCTAATGTAGACCAATTTCAAAACATTTATCAAATGCTTAAAAATCAATATACAAGCTATATATATATAATACAATCACACCTAACTATAGTGTGAATATAGAAACTTGACTACTTCAATAAGCTGCAAAAAGCACACAATTAAGTTTTTGAAACAGCAATCATACATTTTTTTTCTATATGGAGATCCAGTTTCTCTGTGGTTTTTGGTCGGTGATTTCAACGAGCTAATGGCTAACACAATGAAGCTAAAGGGGGCCAACTCGCGTTGAATCTGTTGGGAATTTGATAATCCAAAGATAGAGAAAGAGAAACAAAAGAACAGAGTATCACAAACTACTAAAACTTTTTACTGAATATCCAAAACTTGAAATTTACAATACAAAGACAATGACTTAAATAGTAAACAAAGAGACATGAGTAAAGAGTTGTGTTTCTTCTTTGTTGTAACTTATAACACACGACCCTTAACACACACCTTTTGACTTAATATACGTAACTACTTGTATAATTAAAAACCTAAACTCAATTATCAATGAACAGAATCCACTTGCTTCCCATTTTGTAAATTCCCAGATCTCGCTATGGATATTTGGAAAGATATGTTTTTACCACAAACCTATTTGCAGATGAAATTTGATTCACTCTGGAATCAAAACCTAAAGTGGTGAATATCATTCAATCAAGTTGGTTGTGCGGTGGGAACTGTAGCTCTCATACTTTAATAGAACGGATAACAATCAAGGGCTCTCTCGAGATGGAAGGGAAATTTAGACTTCAACTCATATGTAATGATGTTTATTTGTTAATGCTTGATGTGTTAATAGCAAAAACATATGGTTTAGCAACGTAATGACCTAAAATGGAAATGGTAAGAATGATAGATCTTATATATTGATTAGTAGGGTATTGACATTAAATCGTATAGAATTAAAAATCGTAAGGAATTGAATCGCATGATGGTTATGTTTGAAGGAAGAATGGTATAATAGGTTTTAATAACTTAATGGACTTAGATATTTGAGACATATAAAGATAACATGATGGCGGCATGAAGAGTAGTTTTTAATTGATCAAGTTGCAAATTAAGTAAACGAATAAATCATGATGTTGATAACGTTAATGAAAAAATATGTGTGAGCATGTTACTTGTGTAGCAAGTAACATTGTATTTAACACGATTAGATCACTGTGTAAGTCAAATAACTTGTTTTGACAAATATTGTATGAATATGTGTTACATTAACACTCCTTCCGAGTAAGGAAATGAAGTTTTTATCGCAGTACAAAATTGTCTTCATTCTTCTTTCTCTATCAGCATTTCAGAATCAATATCTCAAATGTTGCTTAGAGAGGGACACCAACATCTCTGTTTACATTCAGACTTTCACACTGAACGCCCAAAAAAAACTACACTACAATGCTTTCACAATTAAAACCAACAACACTCAGTCCCCATTTCAAACCAGCAGTAGCAACTTTTAACCAAGAAAAACCTAATTAATGTTTGACAAACTACAAACCAATAATGACCAAGACCCAATATTTATGTCAACAGACTCTTTCACTCGCTTTTCAAAACAAACGAGAATTGTGTTTAAAACACATTATTATGAGCCCTACGGAACAAAGAATGTTTGGACCCTTTATATTTATTTATTTCTTAGTTTTATAGCCCCATTTTTTTCTTAATATTTATGATTAATTTTCTTTTTTAATAAAAATATATATCAAAAAAACTTCGGGCCCTTACTTATTAGGACAAGAGGTCGGCTAGCGTCACATCGCTCGCCCCCTGAGCTGACCCTCCCATATACAGTTTCTGTGCTAAAATATCTGTGTGAATAGTTTATTTATGTTTGTTTGTGTTCCTCAAATATTTTGCAGAAACTTTATGTAACAATGTTCCCTTGCAACGAATGTGCCAAGATTATTATACAGGTTTGTTCTTCAAACAACTCGGATTTATTTGATTGGATCCTAATAACGTACTATAGTAATGTTATATGGTTAGTGTCCACAGCTAACCGGTTGTTTTGATATAAAACACCGAAACCCGAGTGATCTATTTATACCGAGTAACTTAACCAAAGCATGATCATCACAATCACATGGACTTGCTTCATTTTGGTTCTTTGTTGTTGTTGCACAGTCTGGTGTTGCTGAGGTAATCTATTTTGTGGAAAAGAGATAAAATGACTCAGATGTTGCCTAAGTACCTTCTCACAAGCTCTTAGCCATGGCCAACATCAAAGTAAGTCTCTTCTTAGGTTAATAAGTTCATTACAGTGATTGTTTTCAGGATTTTATTTTGGTATTCAACTCTATCTTAAACAAATTTTCAGCTTAGGAAACATCAACCAGAAATGGATCAGATCTTGATAAAGTTCCAAGAACACTTGCTCTGACCAAGGACCTAATTGTTTCAATTCAAAATGTAGGACCAAATATGAGAATGTTAAGATTGTTCTTGTTCACAAATTTAGGCCAAATCAGAGTATAATTTACTGCATTTCAGACATAGTCACTCAAAGACTGGCTCTTTCTTCTTTTATTATTTCTGTTTGATCGTTTATAACACAATTTCAAGAAATTTGGCACAAACAGACATACAAAACCAAAGAAAAATTTACACAAGAAAGAGACCATTTTCTTAAACTCGGTAGTTTTCGGGTAGAGGCATAACACCGTCAAAGAAATCCCCAAAATAGCCAGATGGCTCATGGACAAGTCTTGCGATGATGTCTCTTAGAGTGATGAGTCCTTCAAGGTTACCTGAATCATCGACCACATATATCCTATGGATCTTCTCGGCGTCTAGCATCAATATCAGTTCCTTTAGCGTATGGTTCTTAGTGCAAGCGATGACACCACTCAGAATAGGCGCCGATGTATCCCCACGCTTCTCCAGATGCTCTCTAACTGCTACTAAGAAGTTCTTTGTTGTGATTGACCTTAAAAAGATCAAGAGAAAGCATTGACGATTGACCAATGCCACAAAACTCGGTATGTCTTATAAGGATTTGTAAAG